AGAAAGAAAGAAAGAAAGAAAGAAAGAAAGAAAGAAAGAAAGAAAGAAAGGGAGAGAGAGAGAAAGAGAGAGAGAGAGAGAGAGAGGAAGGGAGAGAGGAAGGGAGGGAAGGAAGGAGGGAGGAAGAAAAGAAGAGAAAAGAAAAGAGAAGAAAAGAAAAGAGAAAAGACAAGAAAAGAGCAAAAGCTAACAAAATGGCACAAGGCTAAAAAGAAGACAGACTAGACTATGTTCAGAAAGCATCAAATTATCTGAGTTATAACTTGCTCCTGAGAAAAGTAACAAGGATACTGTATCTAAAGCCTAAGACAACTGAGGACTTCAGGGGAGGATTTGTGACCCAGGGCTGGGAGTCAGGCGATGAGCAGAGCATGTATTAGGCACAGTTAAGGCTCTGAGATCAATCCCCTGCAGTGCAAATAAAACACAACACAAAGCAGTGACAAGAAAACAGACAGCAGACAGTAGGAGAATGGAGTCCCAGGAATCCAGAATAGAAAGCAGCGTACACGACCAAGGTACATAATGCTGTGCACCACACCAAAGGTCCAAAATGGAAAAGACACAAGCACAGGCAAATCAAAGAAATAACCAAAATAACTGGCCAAAATGGCCAAGGCAGATGCCAGTGTCCATACAGGAAGTAGTTCATGGGTAATCCCTAACCCAGACAGCACGGCATCTCACGTCAGACTCTAGCAACCACCACCCAAAGCTGTCAGTGCTACACAGACTCAACATAGCAACACTGGAACCCAGACCCCTGCTGTTTGCCTGCCCAGAATACACACCCCTTTAGAAACAGTCAAACAGAGGAAGACAACAGGGCCAACCAGAAAGGAGGCATATGGGCCCTGGGAAGAAGGCTGGGCCTGCCACAGTGAGGATATTATCTTTGCTCTGGTTTTCCCTCAGGAACCAAACCCAGACCCATTACAGAAGCAACAAGTGCTCTTAACTATTAACTACTGAGTCATTTCTCCAGCCTCAGGATGGATGGATAGATGGGTGGATGGGTGGATGGGTGGATGGGTGGATGGGTGGATGGGTGGATGGGTGGATGGGTGGATGGGTGGATGGGTGAATAGATGGATGGATGGATTAATATGTGGATATCTTAATTGTCTTTCCTGCAAGAAGGGAGGGAGACAGTGTATTTTAAGCCAACCTTCTGCTCTCAGACAGGCCCTAGCTCTTTGTGTGGATGGGGGAGAGCAGAGCATGTTTGTAGTCTTTCATTAGGCACCCATCAGCTATTTGGAGGAGGTTGGGCTGTACCACAGAACCATCCAGAGATGTGCCTGGGAAGGTTTGGTTCCCAGTACCCACATGGAGGCTCACAAACCTCTGTAATTCCAGTTTCACAGACTCCAATGCCCTCTTCTGACCTCTGCTGACACCAGGCACACACCTAGAACACACACATACATGCAAGCAAAACACTCACACACAAATAAAATATAGATTTTTTTTAACAAAATAAAAACCTAAAACAATAACCTGAGTTTTATTTATGCAACTCATTAGATCTCTCAAAATTCATTCACTCTCTGCCTTCAACTGACTCGATGACCAGATACCTGCCTGATAAGAGAAAGACAAGGAGGAAAGAAACAGGTGGGAAGCTCCTGGTTCAAGAGACACTTCCTGCAGACAAAGTCTAGGAGCAGAGGTGGCACCCAGTAGTGACCAGCCTGCAGGCAGAGGTAGCACAAGCAGCATAGGCCCTCCCAGGCTAGCCGGCAGGCAGCCATGCTTCCCTAGGACTTCCTAAGTGAGGCGAGGACTAGGAGACTGCAGGAGTGTGAACCACAGCCTCAGCCATACAGAGGGTCTGAGACAGCACAGACTCAACTCAACAAACAGGCTGGGGGAGGGCTGGCTCTAAAACTCCAACGCCAGACTCCAGCTGTGTCTCTTCCAAGAAGCTGTCTCTACTGCCACTCTGCCTTAGGCCAGGCCAGCAGCAGACGTGACACCCTGCTTCAAGACAAAAGCAGCTCAAAACTGGGCTTGGAGCCTCACCCCAAATCTCTGCCTTGGTTTCCTACAGTAGGAGCACCCTGAGTTCTGTAACCTGATGCTACACACTTATGATCCCACTCACAAAAGACACGAAGGTAGCCTGGACTACAGACTTAGCTCTGGCCTGGTACCTTATCAAGATCTTGTCACCATTTTCTCTTTTTTTTAACATTTTATATGTATGGGTGTTTTGCTGGCATATATGCCTGTGTACCTCATGGCTGCCTGTGGAGGCCAAAAAATAGGAGTTGGACCCCCTGGAACTGGGGTTACAGATGGTTGTGAGCTGCTATGTGGGTGCTAGGAACAGCCTAGGTCCTCAGCAAGAACAGGCAATGTTATCAACTCCAGGCCCTGGTCTCAAAATTTAGGCAAACACACAGCAGCAGTCTGTACTCCACAACGAACAAGAGCTGGTGTGCTGGGATAGCTTTTACTATTAGGAGACACGAGTCATCACCACACTGAGTATTTAGTTCAATAACATCCCCGTTATCCCCAAAGTGAACAATTTGTGAGGTTTTATTTTAACAAATTGTTGTTTTTTCATAATAAAATGCAAGGAAATTCTAAACTTCTGTACATTTTATTTGAAACCTTTTAAGACACAATGAAGATTCTCAGAATTTATTTAAAAATATTTACACTTGTGTACACATATGTGTCTGTGCACACACCACAGCCCTGTGGAGAGACCAGAGGTCTCTTGTGTAGGCAGGTGCTGGGACAGAACTCAAGTCCTCTCACTTGGTGGCAAGCAGCTTTATCCACCTAGTCACCTCTGGCCCCAGAACACATTTTTTTATAGAAGCAAATTAATAAGCCACAGTTAACACTCCCTTATCAGTGTCACTGGGATTGAACGGGGGACACTCTTTACATCATCTAGCGGGACTACAGTGAGTCCTAAGAAAGGCATCCTGTCAACAGAAACGTGTTAGCGGAGAGCTTACAGACGGCCAAACACATTCTGAGAACACTCAACCACCAAAACTGAGTTAGAAGCAGCTCTAGAGACCCTGGGAGGAGGCGGGGTGCGTCATCTCAGAATCAGTGGCCACTTCTCACTGTGGAGAGGGAGCCAGGCCACTGCTTTGCATTCTAGTCCACTACTCTGTCCCCAGTTTTTATCTTAAATCGCACCTCTCTCTCAGGTAATCCTTTAAGGGAGTTAATGAATGAATAAACCTACGACTGCCAGGCACATGTTAGGAACTCAGTAAGTAAAGGGCTTATATGGAAAGTAACCTATGGTCACTTCTACTAGCCCAGGCATGCTACCATACACGGCTACCATACACGGCTACCATACACGGCTACCATACACGGCTACCATCCACGGCTACCATCCACGGCTACCATCCACGGCTACCATACACGGCTACCATCCACGGCTACCATACACGGCTACCATACACGGCTACCTGCAGGCCAGATTAACAGAAAACCTGAAGACCACACCGGAAAAAGCCACCCTCCACAGCACACGTTATGTAAACGGTTCAGCCACCAGCCAGCCTGTCAGTTGGTCAGCCGGTCGGTCACCCCTGTCCCCTGACCAGCCATGCTGTGCCCTCTTCCACCATCAGCTAAACTCTTGCTCTCCTCAAGTCTTTCCCAAGCTAAAAACCGTGTCATAAAACCCAACCAGCCTAATTCACAGCTTCCACTACAAAACTACCTAAAGAAAAAAAGAACTAGCTTTTATCTTCAGAATTGTTAATTCTAAAATTATGTTAAACTTGACACTTTCGATACCAACTAAACGCTTATGTATTTGTAAGCTCTCAGCCGTTTACTTACTTCGTACATTCTTCCAGGGACTGTACAAGCACTTGCTGGAAGGAAGATATTTCCTCCAGATTTCCCATTAAATATGAAGTGTTTGTTGAACTCAACCTAAGGCCAAGAAAAATCAAAGTAGAAGACTGTCAGCGGTCTGACTTCAGTCCTGACTTCCTACCACAAAGCGCTACTGAGGGAGGGCCCAGTCTGATGAACAACGCAACGCTGTACCTGCAGCAAGCAGGCACCCTGACCTCCACCCACTACCTCACCTCCTCCCTCTGCAGACACACACTGAGGGGGACCAGCCAGCAGGCAGTCCCACTTACTTACACATTCTGTCCCACTTACTTCTCGCTGGTCTGCAGGGGCCGCAGGTAGGTGGACAGCACAGACTGCAGCTCCTTCGAATACTCATGTTCTGTTTCCAGGATGTTCTGTAGCACCTGCGGTGAGTAATGGACTGTCACTCACACAGCAAGAGGCATCTGACACCGGTTATAAGCTGGAGCGAGTCAGTTTGTTGCCAGTGTGGAATACTAACGCACTTACTGGCATTACTCTTTTGCGGTTATTAACCACTAACCCTAGGTGACGAACTATGAAGGCCAGAGATCTGACTTCTGTCTTACTGGCAACAGGCATCCCTAGATTTTGTGAAAGCGCATTCCATCCTTGAACAAGCAAGGCAAGGTCAACTTAAATTACAAAGGACAGACTGTAGACAATCTCAAAGCACCTATGGGCGATGTGTGTCTCTAAAAGCTGTATGGTGCAGAAAAAGCCACCACCAAGTACAATGCACAAAAATCACCCAGCTAGTCTAAGAACAGGAAACTAAGCTACAATGACAGGCAGACAAGAGCGGGGGACAGACGGGCTCTGAATTCTACCTTGGGCACACGGCTACCTGGGTCAGCACACTTGCTGAAGCTCAGTGAACTAGATGAGACCTACCCGTCCTTGTTGTATGCAGCAGAGCATCCCTAAGCAAACAGCCCACACCCAGAGTGGTCAAGAGTATGAGACTTTCTGAGACTACCATGATGCTGTGAGGGTTACACTTTGGACCATTTCAGAGTTTGAGTTTACGAATGTTTAAACCAGTGACGTCTATGCAAATATCCCCCAAACTCCAGAATCTGATTAAGTTCTGGTCCCAAGCACTGAGGTGATGGACACTTAACCTGGATGTAAGACATATCCCAATTTAATATATGAACTTTATTCTTGACTGGATCTAAAACACTGAAATAAATGTATGGGAAACAGAGACTTTCATCAGACAGTGTGATGTCCTGGATCATCCCCCACACAACATGCATTGAAGATAAAAGGCCTATGAAAGCAAAAAATCTTTAGACATTTATTCATCTCAAGGATAGCAGAGTAAGTAGAAACTAACTCAAATTTTAAAAGTTCCAAATAGCGTGTTAGTAAAACAAATTCAGCAAAAACTACTAACTCCTAAAATTTCCAGACAAACACAGTTCCAAACAGATGAACTTAAACGAATGCTTCCCACCGGAATCCGCCAACACCACAGGCACCTGACCAGGCAGGGCAGAAGAGATGGATCTCCTGAAGGCCAAGACCTATAGCACTGACCCCTGTCCTACTGACCCCTGTCCTGGCACTTGGCAGCTAACTTAGGGTACAGTACTCTTTAACCCCAGGAGAACATGTCCTTTACTTGGGCCTGATGCACATACCTGTCGTCTCAGCCACTTAGGAGGCTACAGCAGGATAATCACAAATTTAAGGATTGCCCTACCTCTACGGCAAGTTCAAAGCCAACATGAGTAGCAATAGGCAAACAGCATATGCTGTTTCCAAATAAATGGGAGGGGGGTGACAGGGGGTAGAGATGGGGGTAGCTGGGAGTAAGAAATAGGAACATAGCCCCTGGTAGCCCACATCCCTGAAATTAAGACCTAGGACACCTCCCCAACCCACTCCCATACATACACACAAAGTCTCCTTTTCAAAGCAGTTACTTCCTTCCATGTTTAACATCTGGTGAACTGCAGAGCCAAAAAGTGACAGTGGGTCCCTCTGTCACTAGCCTCATAGGGCAGCTCCAGCCTAAAGGGTGGAAATCAGAGATCTACATACAGGGCCCCCCACCCCCACCAGAGAGGGAAATCTCTTCCCTGCCCTTTCCATCCCACCCTTTAGACAGTCAGGGCTGTTTTAACTAGGTCACACAGTGTGTGCCTTCTGAGCACTTTCTGAATGCGTGTGCTTGCTGCTTCACAAAGCCCACACATGCCTCGTAACTCATCAGACTGCAAGGGGTGTCAAGATGACAACACTTCATTTTCTGACCGTGATTCTGATGATCTGAGTTTAAACACTTGAGCTGCTCGTTAGTTCAGTGCTGTCTCTGTAAACGCTAAGGAGCCCTAAGTAGATGAAGCATCACAAGCAGCTCATACACGCAGCCCCAAGATGAAACACCACAGGCTCTGTCTCCAACAGATGCCCAACTCCGGCTTCCTCCTGAATGGACTTATTCATGGAAACAGCTGGGAGACAGCCAGGAGGGGGAGGGACCATGCAGGGAGTTCATTCCTTTGTGGGGAAATCTAGATGGTGCACCCAAATTGACAATGTCCTGCTATGACATACTCACTGAACCCAAGTGTCAAAGGCCTGGGGACAGAAGCACACTGACTGCAGATACCGCTCCAGAGACAGTCACGTAAACCAGACACAGTTCTCAAAAAGCGACAAATCAAGAGAGCAGCCACCAGCAGCGTCAGGTCTGAAGAGAAAAGGATCGTCCCAGGATGTGTAAGGGAAGCTCCGTGACAATGCTGCCACTCAGGGTGGAGACATGAGCAGGACCCACCCTCAAATCCTAACATCCTCCCAAGGTGAAGAGCAGAGGAAGAGCACTTCAAGAGACCCCAGGACACTGCGCCTTCCTCAGCCACAGCCTGAGCACAGCTGTGAAGACGCACACCAAGGCTTCCCAAGGGAATGCCACCAAACTACCCACGGCCCCACAGAAGCAAGCGCACCATGCTGCTCCACTCCAACTGCTGACCAGCAGTACCACATACTACTTGCAGACACCTACTGAGTCTTCGACACTCCCCAGAAGACAGACAAGATACACTGGTGTCTGCACAGGAACACAGAGCCACACACCCACTCACCTGCCTACAACAGTGCCACCAAACCCTCACCCTCGCCCTCGCCCTCGCCCTCGCCCTCGCCCTCGCCCTCGCCCTCGCCCTCGCCCAGGGGGCTTCTGTGCTCTTTGACCTAGGTAGCCTCATCACCCTACCTGGCCTGAGTCTGCCAGTCACTAGCCTCACCTTTCCTCCTCTCTGCGCCTCAGGCACATGCTGGCTGCTGCAGGACCCCATGGACCTCACCCCAGTGGACACAGCTCCATCATACCATGCCTGGGAACCCAGAACATAGCAGTGTTCAAGGAGATGCAGACTTTGTGACCCACAGTGCTGAAGAAGGCCAAAGGAAAAACCCCAGGCGGCATGGCTGGCTTTGAGTCACGAGACACAGAGCTGTCCAGTCATACACAGTGCCACCCAGGAGGGCGGGCACCCTCGGCAGCCACACAAACGTCCCTAAGACCTTCCGCCTTGAAAGAAACCAACTCCCACACTGTGCAGACACAGGCGCTGGTTTCATGGGAGGCAGTTAAAGGAACACTTGGCATCTCAGACTTGAGATGTCTTGTGTGTCCTTTAAAAATAACTCATCTACAGGGCTGGAGGTATGTGTAGCTCAGGGACAAGAATGCTTCCTAGCCTGTGTGAGGCCCTGGACTCCATCCTCAGCACTGTAAAGAATTAAACATGTATAAAATATCTGACTGGCATATAAGAACACAAGGCATTAGGTCGTTGCCCTAAGACCCTCCCAAAGGTAAACTAAACCTGGACGTTCACAATACAAGCCTAGTTTACATCCAAGGGCAAGTGAAATACCTCATCTATCCTACACGTCACCCGTACCACATACCTCCATGGAGTTCCGACTTTTGTGTGTTTGTGTGGGTATGTATGTGTACTCCTATGTGAGTTTTCCTCAAGCACTTTCCATTTTAGGTTTTTGAGATTTGGAAGGAACCTGGAACTCACAGATTCATCCAGGGAGCCAGCTCATTAGTGAGCTCTGGAGAGCCACTGTCTCCCCTCCCTGGCACTCACCTGGCTTCCTCATGGACGTTAGGGATCCAAACTCAGGGGCTCATGTGTCCACAGAATTTTCTTGCCTTTAATAACCTCCTGACATCTAGAACCTACTTAATTGACAGACAAATGTGCCTTAATATCTACCTTTTAAAGCAAATAGTTTTTCTACAGTATTCCTAACTCAGGACTCTACTAAGTTTGGAAGAGACATGATAAAGTTTGACCAGATAAAGGGCTGAGAGATGCAGCTCAGAGATTACAGCACTGGCTGCCCTTCCAGAGGACCTGGGTTCAATTCCCACCACCCATCACAATTGTCTGTAACTCTGGTTCAAGGGAATCCGACACCCTCACACAGACATACATGCAGGCAAAAAAAAAAAAAAAAAAAGTGCACATAAAATAAAAATAAATTATTTTAAATAAGGAAAATAACATTTAAAAAAAAGATTTACCAGACAAAAGTGGGTCCAGAGAATCCATGTCAGAAGAGCAGTGTTCAGGGGCACACACTGCTGCCCACACTCATGCCCCCTGTGAGTCACACACACTGTACTGTGCAGTCAGGCACTAGTTATGTGGACTCAGGCAGAGCTGCACTCCAGCCCTGGCTAAGCAGCTTACTGTCTATAGCAAGACACCTAGCCTCCCTGCTTCTTCTTACACAAAGGACTCTTCTGGGTTATGACAATTCTGAGCTAGGTAGTAAGAAACGCTGCCTACCCATCACCTAACACACCCAGCCACCAACACTATCACTCGAGACTTCTCTTTGAGGGACTTTTTAAGTCAGGAGGTCTCTGGCATTCCCCGGGGTTAGGTTAGCTCACTCCCTCCCTCACTCACCATGCTGGGCTCCTGCTGCCTCCTGAAACTGCAGCCTGTGTCATCCTGGCCCACATAACACAAGCAATTACACAGAAACAGCATGAAGAAGTGTGTTGGAGGAGCTAGCAGGTGTCCAACTTCCCCAGAAACTGTGGCTAGGACACAAGAAGTGAGGCACTCCCAGGAGAGCCAGTGACTCATGCTGCAGGCTTCTCCAAGCTCACCTGTCAGACTCCCAAGGTCATGGGATGAGAACGTCCTCCACGGTCTCATGCCTGAATGCTCATTCCTCAGTTTGGATTAGGAGGCATGGCCTTGTTGAAGAAGGTAGGTGGGCAGGCAGGCTTTGAGGTTCCAAAAGGCCATGCCAGTTAGTGTGAGCCTTCCCCCTCCCCCACTCCCCCCTCCCTCTTTCCTTCTTGAGGATCAAGGAGTAAGCTCGGCTGCTGCTCCAGTGCCATGCCTGCCTGGCTCCTCCACCATGCTCCTCACATGATGATCCCAGCCTGTAGCCCTCTGCGACTGTGAACCCAGCGATGAGTTCCCTCTGTAAGTTGTCTTGGTCATAGTGTCTTGTCAAAGGAACAGAAAAGTAACTAGAGATGTGGACTATAAAAGAAATCTTGATCAAAGTAAAAGGCAAACGATCAGATGACGCAAGACCTGGGCTGGCAGTGCCTGCACCAGCCTCTCTTTCTTCTTTGGACCACCACTCAAGAGGCTGCAGGGAGCAGAGGATAAGGCCAATGCCACTCAGGAACACAAAAGAAAACACAAGAGTGTTGCAGCTTCCGTGTCTGCTTCGGACATTGGTAGATTACAGTCACTCAGTCTACATAAGTACACAGGGAAAGTCACCCTGCGTTCCCTCCACACTAGACATCACAGTTACTTCCTTCAGCAACACAATGTGCTCGGAAGGGAAGCGTGCTAAGTGATGAGTGAGGACACATCCTAGACTGGGAAGGGTTTCAGAGTAGGACATCCAAGTCCTTCCTGAATCCTAATGGGAAAGATGCCTGTCGTGCTATGGGTGGAGCCAGGAGTCTCACTGTCAGGAGACATCAAGTTCAGAGCAAGTAGGTCTTGTCACAAGCATGCCTCTTGTAAAACTGCATGACCCGGTCACTGGACTAGGATCTCATGAGCATCCTCAGAAACGACCAGGATACCTGCCTGCAAACAGAATCTGCCATGCATTCTGTTCTAAACGTACTGCCTGGTAGCATGGAGACCTCGACAGGACTTCAGCAGGTACCCAAAGGCTCATCACAGACTCTCCTCACATCGCATGGCCAACACTACAGTATCAACATCATACTGCACGTCGAGTCACTGCTCGTCTCCCAACCACTCCATGGCTGAGCAGCAAGGACAATTAGAGCCAGAACATGTACCCCTTCCACTGCCCCACACACCACATCAGAACATGTACCCCTCTCACTGCCCCACACACGCCATCAGCACCTCAGCTAGCTTGAGTGCACACCACAGGGACCTGACCCAAGAGCTGACAGCACTTATCACATGTCAGAGTTCAGCCCAGGCAGCTGAAGGCCGGCAAGACCAGGGCAGGAGAGTCAATGGGCACCACATTATAACTAACACCCATCTACTGTTTAGACTCTAGAGCAGTGATTCTCAACCATTTAACAAAGTGCCTCATCGTGTTGTAGTGATCCAACCATAACACCATTTTGTTACTACTTCATAACTGTAATTTGCTATTGTTATGAATTGTAATGTAAATATCTGTGTTTTCCAATGGCCTTAGGTGACCCCTGTGAAAGTCACAACTCACAAACTGAGAACCACTGGTCTAGGTGATGCCTCTAACTTCATGTACATTGATAGACACAGTAATCTCAAGAAATACAAGAGCAAAAAAATGAAACAAACCAGAACCTATAAAACCAAAAGATATCTAATCCACTCCAACCAGTCCTACTGGCCCCTGAAGTATGTAAGGATTTTAAATCATGCACTACACCTTTTAAAACCTTACTTTTAAACACTCAATAGTCATAACACCAGACTGTGACAAGACAGCAGACCTGTGTGTGTGCAGTACATGCCTTCTTGTTCTAGGACACGTGAGATGCTGTCTGCAGTTACTCACCACATTGTAATAGCTCTTGTTGATGGCAGTCGTATCGAACCCTTTGGGAGGGCTCTTCAAGGTCCCTGATTTGGGTGACACAGGCTTCTCTGCAATTAAAAAAATAGAAGGACACTTTATTGGTCGAAGCCAAGGTAACAATCACACCAGGCCTACACGCCAAAGCCTCACCTAAAAACCAACCCGAGAAGGTGACAGAAGGGCCTCACACAGCCACTGAGGAGCAGGCCACTTCCTCACACTGGGGATACAAGATCACAGAGCCATGGGCTCCGTTACTGCACTTTTCACCCTCCCCCTTCTCCCAGGCTGGGGTGGAAGCATATGAGAAATTACACTTGGCAGTGCCAGGAAGAGTTCAGCTATACCTACAGCCTCACAGGGTCATAAATATAAAATGTTCTCCAAACAGAAGTAGAGAAATGTTAGCAGGTATATAAGGGACTCAAAACACCAAGACCCAGAGCTCTGGGAATTCCACATGCTAAAACAGTGGCAGGTGACAGGCTTCTAACAACCAACATGTGTGCAGACACATGAGGGGAAGACTCTGCCTGGGCTTGCAGCACGCCTGTAAGTGGTCTATGCTTAGGATGCTGCCACCTCATACCATCCAGAATCCCACTATACTGAGAGAAGGCATGTAAGCAGCAGTGTTCTGTGTCGTCCATCTGTCTGTATTGAGCAGGGCTTCCATGTGCATGGCCCTTATTTGCTCTCTGGGATGGGGGAGTTTACCTATTGGGGGAAAAAAAGGGGGTGGATCTACTGGTCTCAGGGCTGATGGTCTGTGGCAGACAGTCTGCCTGTTGTTGGCTCTGAGAGGTAGCTGAGACTCTGTGGGTCCATCTCACCATCACTGACTCTCCAGGTCAGGATGGGAGGAGACACTGGCACATTTTCACCCCAGACACATGGATTATTGCTCCCCTGTAATAATCCTGCTGTGTCAGTTCTGGTCACTGAGCAGAGGGATACTATCCCTCTGAGTGTGAGGTAGTACCTGTCCAGTCTCCATGGCTCTCTTATTCTCTGCCCACACTTCCTCCCCTACCATCTCATAGCACCAGGCTCTCAAGACGATTTCCATGCCCAACGTTCCCCGGCTACAGGTCCTAAAGCCAACTGCCTGTCTGGCACCCCAGTATGTTTTCAACCACAAGAGTAACCCAAAATGCCCAAAGAGAACTCACGAGCCTTAACGCTGGGCCCACCATGGGACGGCCTGCCTACATGGTCTTGCAGTACCTCAATGTCATGTTTTCTCAGACAGTTGAAAGAAATGACAAAGCAGAAAGTCTCCTTCTGGTTGAAGAAGCTCTGGTTATAAAATGGAAAATCACCCCAGAGAACGAATCATTTCCTAAGTGTAAGTAAACCAAGTGGAACCCTAGTACTTCTGCCTGAGACCCATCCCTTCCACAGGCAGACCTTAACCCTTGAAGAAAGCACACCCATGAGTCCATGGCCCAGCACAGCTTACAAAGGCAATGTCAAAGCGAAGATTTTCTAAATTCTCTTCTCTCTTCTTTTATTTAAACCTCAGAAGGCAACACCCTAGTCAATAAAATTCAGTATTTACTACAAGAACTAAGAGAAAGTTTTTCACAATCAAGTTTCAGGCTATAATGTTAATGAACAAGAACCAGCAAGAGTAGGTCAGCTGTCCTCTCCCTCTGAGGACTGCTACAGAGAACAGGGTGGACAGGAACTCTGTGACCATGTGTCCTAACACATTTTCCTATCAGCTCTCAAAGGCCATGAGCCAGAGAGACCTCACAGAGCCTCTGCTAGAAGCAAGCAGGTCTACAGCCAGAGGACCCAAGAGCCACTGCTCACTCCAAACACAGAAGTGTCCGCACACTCAATATCAGCACAGATGTATGTTTGAAAGGACAGGGACGGACAGGCCCAAAGGGTAGAGATCACAGTACTCCTGGTCAGAGAAGGGGCAGAGTCATCCTGGACCTGGTACAGTAAGCAAAACAGGACCTTTTGATGACAACAATCATGAAAAGCAGCCTTGATGTTTCTATTAGCTGGCCCAGAGACTGCGAGGAAGAAGCACTGAGCATACACCTCGTATGGACGCAATCACCTGAGAGCACTGAGCAAGCAGGACGCTCCATGTAACACAGGTCCCGGTGAGCATCTGACCATCGAGGTCTGCTCTCAGCAGCCCAGACCAGCCCCTAGGATAGTCATCTGTGGCCACAAGCACAGAATCATACTGACAACACCTGACCTGTGCCTCGACATTCACTTGGCAACAGTAAACCCAGTACCACTGGCCCCCAGAACCTGCTGCCTCCTCCTCCCATCTCCCTTGAACTGAGGGATATATGTGTGTGCTAATCACACACACTGCTTGTGTGGATAAAACACAATAGAAATCTGTACATATTACATATCCAAAAATGGTACACATAAAAGCTGCGTAACAACTCTGCTCCTTTATACCAACTATGCACTGTACATACCAGAAGCTACATACAGTATAGCTTGCCAGTTACAGATTCTTACAGACTCCTGATGGGCCTGTGCTGGGAAGTTTGTCAACTTGACACAAGCTAAGGCCATCTGAAAGAAAAATTCTCATTAAAGAAACTGCTTCCATCCACTGAGTAAGCAGCTCTCCATCCATGGCCTCTGCTTCAGTTCTTGCCTCCAGGTCCCTGCCTGTTTGAGAGCCTGCCTTTATGGTTAGGATACGGAACACAATAGTCCTTTACTCCCCAAGTTACTTTTGGTCATGGTCTGTGTTCAAAAAGAAACTACTGAAAACAAGCCAGGCGTGGGCTGTCTCACCACAAGAGGGAGACAGTCCTGTCATCCTTTTCCAGAAAGGCAGAACAGCTGAGGAGGGAGGGAGAAAACTTCTTTCAGAAGCAGCCTTTGGCTTTTTTTGTTTGCACAAAAGCTGTAAGTCAAACCAAAATGAGATGCAAAAGACAAAGGTACAGCCAAGAAACTGGACCAGGGCTTTTGTTCAGTGAGGAGTGGCGCTCACAGGCTTCAGGCAGGGTGCTTTCAAATCGGCAGCTTTGTGCTCAGAACACTAAGCACCAACTATAAATTACAAAAGGAATCCAATCCCACAATTACAACACCAAATAAACTATTGGAAAATACAATACCAAACTGTGACTGTCTAATTCTAGGACTCAATTGTTGGCTACAAAGACATTGTTAAGATGTTTTTTATAATGTGTTTTCACACCATTCAGCCTGAACGACCAGTATTTAGAATCAGACTGGTTTAACTTTTCTTACAATCAACTCATACTAAGAGACTACTGCAAGCGGGAGCTATTCCCAAGAGAGGCCACTTTCCTATCTCACTGTCAAGTAGAGGACATTCAGGATAACAGTAATATGCAAGACTGGAGAACCCAGGGACTGAACCACCGACCAAAGAGTACACATGGAGGAACCCATGGCTCTGGCCACATATGTGGCAGAGGATGGCCTTGTTGGACATCAGTGGGAGGAGAGGCCCTTGGGCCTAAGGGGTTAGATGCCCCAGTGTGGGAGAATACCAGGGCTGGAAGGCAGGAGCGGGTGGATGGGTGGGGGAGCACTCTCATAGAGGCAGGTGGAGGGGGGATGAGATGGGGGGGTTCCAGAGGGGAGACCTAAAAAGGGGATAACATTTGAAATGTAAATAAAGAAAATATCCAATAAAGGGGAAAAAAGGTTAAAAAAAAAAAAACCTGTAGGTCTCAATTTGGCACAAAAACTATGACTTCAACTTGCCTCTCTGAAGACAGTACTCCTGAAGAGGGTGTGCTGTGGATCACACCCGGCAGCCACACACACAAGTTAGGTATGTGCTCCAGCACTGAGCACATCCCCAGCACCCAACGTACATCTCTGACGCCAGGGTAGCCTGGGCACACTTGAAACTGGAACAGAAACACCAACTCAGGAATAAGACATAAGCATAGGACTGAGAGTGGCCTGAAGGAACTGGCCTTCACACACAGCACTGGCCCTTCCTGAAGCTTCCTCTTTCCCCACACTCCACACCCAAAGTGCAGCAGCAACCCCACATGCAAGGCACACTCTATGCATGCCGCCAAGAAACAACATGAAGTTTATATCTATTTGAATTATTTCCAGAAGTCACGTGAAAAGGACTCTGGGACCTCCATGCCCATCTAGTGGCATTTCTTGTGCTAGGTGAACTACAAATTCTGCAAGGAGAAGTATCTGAGAAGTAAAAATGTCACGAGATACTCCTACTACAGCAATTCAAACTAGAGACTGCAGAAACAGCCACATGCCTTAGACAAGCCAGCATGAACAACTGCCTCTCCTGAGCAGCTCTCTACGCCCAAGGGACCCTGCTTACAGCATGAGGGACTCTCCCCCAAAGGCCCTGCCTAGAACATCTTTTTACTTGTTTTGCATTTTAAAAAGACAATCTTAACCAAGGGCAACAAGAAAGCAAGATCGCACGCATGCGCAGGCACACACACATGTGGTACGCCCCTTGAAAATGAGTAGCCATCTTTCCCAGGCTTCTTCTTGACACAAGCAGTGATCCAGCACGAGAGAATAACCAGGATGCCGTATCAGGAAGAACACGACTGAGTCTCATGAACAGAGAAACTCACGCTGCTGGCCCAAGTCGCTCAGCTCCAGGACTTTCCCAGCCTCACACGATGACACGCAAGCATTAAACATTAGCCTCAGAGCGCTCTCAACTCCAAGCCACCAATCACAGCTCAGCAGCACTGAAAGTGGGCTGAAAGCTGCTATTCACCTCTGAAAGACTTGTCATGAACAAAGTGTCAATAACAGCAAACGGGAAAATCAACACATTTTCATAGGAAACAAATTGGCAGAAATTACCCACTTGTAACTAACTGGTGTAAAAAAAAACACAATCAATGGCAGTAATAAAACACAGCCTGGCTCAGGCCATTGGGAGCATCGATTATAACAGAACACAGACTGGTGACAACACAACAAGCACATGGGTGGCTGCAGGGGCACACACCTGTGAACCTGGCGACTCAGAAGGCTGAGGCAGGAGAATCACTTGAGCTCGGGAGTTCCAAGATTACCTGGACATCATGTCCATAGACTCTGTCTCAAAAAGCAAGAGACAACAATTAAGAGACCTAAGAGGTCTTTCTTAGGAAAACATTAGGGAAATGTCATGATCTAATGCAAAGCCAGTTTATAATTATGGGCCTTTATCCAGCATCCCAAGGTACAGGAGAGGATGAAGCTCGTTCACTGAAGACCAGACGCCTTCTCTGCACGTAATGGAGAACAGGCACTCAAGAGTAGAGCATTCACATCCTTTGGCTCCTCCCAGAATCAGGTTTAGCCACTCACCACTCGGCTTGATCTCTCGCACATAGTTGCTGGGGAACCAACCAGTCCTGCCATTGTGTGTGCCCTCCCACCAGCCTCCTTCCTCCACTCGAGTGACATGGATGACGTCGCCCTTCGAGAAGGAGAGCTCATCTTCATTGGTCTGCTGGAAGTTAAACTTGGCTCGTACTACCAGTTGGCTGTTGGTGTTATCAGTCATGTCCTAGAAGACAGGTGGGGAGGAGTGGGAGAAATTTCCATGAAGTATGGTCTATTTTCTGAGAAAAGTTACACTTACCTGTCATAAAGATGGCCAACACATTTATATAAATGCTCCAAATTCCAACAGCAGGAAAGCACCAGGCATGGTGGTGCATGTCTTTAACCCCAGCACAAGGCAGAGGAAGAGCAGAGACAGGCAGGTGATTCTGAGTTCCAGGCCAGCCTGATCTACAAGGTGAGTTCCAGCCAGCCAGCACTACAAAGTAAGACCCTGCCTCAAAAATAAACAAACAGCAGGAAAGTGTCTTTAAGAAGCTTAAAGCTCCCTGTGCACCTTGACTCCTGTCAGATTACAGTCCAGGCGAGAAGGAACTCTAGACTCCACTCCTACAGGCAGGCAGACACACAGGTACCCTGTACTCGGCTTGCTCGCTCTCGTGCACGCATACGCGCTCTCACTCCCCCTCTCCCCCCACCCCCGCCCCACTCCCCACCTCCACCCTGCACTGTGCCTTTCTCTACCTTGAAAACTAATCTCTATACCGTGGACGTGCTTCCAACTATGTAAAGCCACACTGTACAACTGAGTCACTGATTTTTAGGTTATTCCCAATGCTTGTTTATGTACGCCACACAGTGTCTCTCATCTCTTACAAAAGGCTCCATTAAAAATATTCATACATCCATTTTTCATTGCAAATATAAACAAGTCTTTATGTTAAATTCTAGTACTGGGACATTCATAAAAACATTCAAACTTTAACAGATATTTCTAAACTCATCTCCAAAAAAGTACTACAAGCTTACACCAAGCAACATGCCCATTGGTACAAATAACCCTTTTCAGATTCTAACAAGCATTTATTCCAGAAACAGGAACAGGAAAACACCACCTCACATCCTGGATGGTGAGATGCTCAGAGACAGCACTTCCAGGTCTCTGAACAGAGAAGGGCTGGCTAGCGAGTGTGTATGCGCGTGCATGCGTGCGTGCGTGCGTGTGTGTGTTCTCTCTTCTCCACCCAGCTTGGTGAGGATCTGGGAGAGGCTGGAAAGTATAAATCTACCATCAAGCTACCAAAAAGACAAACCCCTAGACCAACCTCTCCCCACTGCTACAGAAACAGAGTCAATAAGTAAAATCTGTACCTATATCTCTAGGGACCAGATACAGTACTGCACTGTGGGCTCATTTTACCTGCATCTTGGGATGAGCCAAGGCTGAAAGGATGCCCAGTCACCACAGCCCACTGGCATCTGTGAAGACTAGCCAGGAGTACTGGGCACACTGGTATTTTCTGGCCCTCTACCCACTCAGAGAGCAGACTGGCACAGGACCACTCAGGAACCCTTGCCACAGTGTCAAAGACAAAACAGATGTCCCCCACTGCACAGCAGACTTCATTCCATTCAGAAAAGGGTGCTTGATGGATGATCCACGATGAGCACCTCCAGAGGAAAGGAAGCTAACCCAGCAGAAAGAGCATTTCACTCTCAGATGTCCCAGTGGTTTAGAAAATGGCCCAGGAGGCTGAAATCTAATACACTGAAGCAGTCTGAGCATCTTCCACGGATGCTGTACTAATAAAACCATGTGAGAAGGCTCTGTCAACTTGGAGACTGGTACCAGAGCAGTGTCAGGAAAACACCAGTGTCTAGGGTCCCCAGCTCCAAGAAAGGGGGAAATACTATTACAACCTAGTCATTCCTCCCGGAGATGAGGGCCATCGGAGGGATACTCACACTAACCCCGCCAGTGCTGAGAGCCACACTGAGGACTACAGCCATACTTGGCTATCAGTGGATAAACACTCAGACCCAGACACTTGACAGCATCAGTAGAGTTCAACAGACAAAGCATGAGTGTGTGTCACACGTGAGAAAACCCTCATCCGAAGCTCCTGGCACATGTACAGCCCATGGCAAGAGTAACCTGCACAGTAGTAAACTGGCTTTTAAAAACATAAGAGGAATATGTCAGAAATCCACACTTAGACTCTAAGTAAGAAATACCTGTTGTCCCTTTCACCATGGCAATTGTGAGTTTTCTTCTTCTGCGAAGTTTCCCATTTCCTCTTGGGGAACAAGGGCTGCCATCCCCACCAGCAACACTGGGACAGGGCCTGCAACCTCCCCTAGACACCCGCCTCGGAGAGCCTCCCCACCACCTCACTCCAGATTTTACTCACAAATTCTCCTCCTCCAAGGGGGAGGGGAAAAGGGAAGGGCCATCTCCATTCTCAGGCCCAGGGCAGCCAGAGCTCACTGAGGGCTGACTTAGGGGGCAGGCTTTAGGCAAAGAAAGAGCTGCCTTCAGTCTCCTGCTCTAAGGGAATTGCAGGCATTAGCAGGTGCCCCCACCATGAGTCTTTCCAGCCAGTGGGACGGCATCCTGACTCCCCAGAGTCTCCAGTGAGACTGGAAGCACTCCTGCTGTGAGTCTGATGAGCAAATCCTTCCAAAGGGAACAGGACCTCAGCGTGTGCTCTAACTTAACTCAAAAAGGAAGTTGTAGGTTTGCTAATGGGAGTCTTAAGGAGTTCACTAGACTGAGTTGTGGTTCATCACAAACACTAAGTTTGGGTGGTTTCACAGGAATGTTAAAAACAAAGAGACATAAGGATACAACTGAACACAGCCCTGAGAGTTTCTGAGTGCTGTGCATCCTCAGTGTAGAGCCTGCTCCACTCCCTGGGTCCTGCCCTGTTCCCCCGGCAGCAGGCTCCTGCATCATGCCCTCTCTGTGTGGCCAGGCTTATGCATAACTGTGCTGTTTATTCTCATACTCATGTGCACAGCGAGCAATTACCTGAGGGCTGGATGTCAAAGCATTCACCTCTCTAGATGAGCAGCTGCAGCCTTCAAGATAAACCCAAATAAACAAGTGTCCAAAAGCACTTGGCTCAGTATCCTAGGGAATCCAGCGAAAAGCACACATCACCACACACATCAGGAGCCACCCTGCAAAACCAGGAGACCAAGGTGCTCCACATTCTGCATGGGCCCAAGCACTCTCCCAGTACTTCTGCAGACCCCTCATGTCCCAAATGCCTTTCAATCAAATACTAAAACATCTTACTTACCAAGCTTCGGTACTGGCTCTGAAGCAATTTTGAAGTCCTACTGTGTGAAGACTGGGATCCCAGGGAATCAAACGACTTTATCCGATGTGACGAGGGCCGAGCACACACAGAATCACTTCCTAGTCCAATGTCTGAAAAGGTGGTACACACAGAAAAAGTGCTGAAGACCCCCATACCATGTGCCTTAAACACACACTGGCTCTAAAACTGGGCCAGTATGGAGGGACACACCAGAAGTCCACAACAAAGCAGGCCATTTACATGTAACAAAGAGCAGATTCTTCTGCTCCATAAATGATGCATTCATTCCCCAATTACCTCTCCAGGGACAATCTGGAGATGAGTAACTTATTGGTTCTCTAGTGTAATTCTCAACAGTTTGCAAACCATTCTATAGATGTTTGTAAACAGTCCCTTCAACTGGAAAAACAGTAACTGCTCAACGAGGAACTGCCAGGCACTTAAGTCTCCAGCACGGAGTACACGTGCCCTTCTCCAAGATCACATGCCACACATGCCACAGCACTGAGGCAGGGATGAACAGCCACACGTCATAGAATGATAAGGTAGTGCTCTCTGCAGACAGCACACACAGAAGTAGCTGGCAAAACCCACCAGAGCATGCTCCACAGAACAGCCCACCACGGACCAAATGTCACTGTGGGACTCAAGGCCACACTGAACAAGGAGTTTGGAAACCAACTGTACTGTATGGTTCTCTGTGTCAACTTGACACAAGCTGGAGTTATCAAAGAAAGGAGCCTCCCTTGAGGAAATGCCTCCATGAGATCCAGCTGTAAGGCATTTTCTCAGTTAGTGATCAAGGGTGGAGGGCCCATTGTGGGTGGTGCCATCCCTGGGCTGGTAGTCTTGGGTTCTATAAGAAAGTAAGCTGAGCAAGGCAGGGAAAGCAAGCCAGTAAGTAACATCCCTCCATGGCCTCTGCATCAGCTCCTGCTTCCTGACTGCTTGAGTTCTTGTCCTGACTTCCTTTGGTGATGAACAGCAATGTGGAAGTGTAAGCTGAATGAACCCTTTCCTCCCCAACATGCTTCTTGATCATGATGCTTGTGCAGAAATAGAAACCCTGACTGAGACACCAACACTGTGAGTGGTGAAGAGTGTGAATCGAACACATCCTCTAAATCTTAACGGTGTACCAGTAAAGACACAGTCACACCCCAGCAGTGGCACACCCCAGTGTTCTGAACCAACAGCCCCCACTCCTTCTCTAAATCAGGAGGCAGGAAATGCAGGGCTCAGGTGAAGGGCAGCGTGCTGAGGACTGGCTCCCAGTCACTGTGCTGAAGGCTCCCTGCACCAGAAGTGCTGCCCCAGCGCTCACAACCCCAGAAGCACAGAGCACCAGCAGCAGAAGGTGCAGCCCAAGCAGTTTCTCTCTCAATGCAGTAATGCTCATTTTACCTTGAGGACAGAAAACTAAAGACATGAGCCTTCACATCCTCACTTTGAAGACATTTAAAAGAGTCTTACCTGCTGTCACTTTATTTAGTGTCACCAAGGAGCTGAGGACCTTGTTAAAGTTCTGCCCCTGATACAAATCATTTGCATCAAAAGTCTGAAAGAAGAAAATAAAACAAGAAAACTAGTACTGAGTTTTATGCTATCACAGAATAAACAAAACTCTCCCAACAATAAGTGGTTTCACATGGTCAGCAGCACGGTCTGAAAAACCCAAGAGACAGCACAGCCTGAGAGTGGCTCTCTAGGAAAGGAGTCCATTGGAATTCCCTTGTGAGGCATTTCCTTATGGGGCATCAAGCCCTTGGAAGAGCACCAAACCTAACTGTGCCCCCTTTTCTATCCAGGTGAGGTGAAAACTAGGGTATGAGCCAGAAGCCAACAGTTAAAGGCACCCAGTAAAGGCTCAGGGTGGCTTGTAACCCTCTCTCCTTAGACTACAAAAGCCTGTGGACATGGAAGACGTTCTCTTCTAGCATGAAAGGGAAGTATGCTAAATTCACCCCATTGCACACAAGGCATATGCAGACACAGGAAAGCACAGAGACGACAGGGAATGGGTGGGACATAAAGTGGATCCCAGAAGAGAGACAGGGTAGCGGCCTCTGTACAGAGTTCTAAAGAACCCAGACTGTAGGCAACCCCACTCTGACCTAGGGCTACCTAACCACTCTGACCCCGAATCAGTGACACCACAAGATTAAGGCAGGAGAGAAGACACATGAGCTAGCCTAAGTCATCTGAAAACCAAATGTGTGTGGACATATGTGTATGTGTACCAGTGTGTGTGCATTTGTGTGCTATGTGAATGTATCACCAACCTAAACCTAGGAGAGATAACGTACAAAAGATTACCTAGTTAAACACATCTGGCTTTTGTTTTAAGGCGTGTGTGCGCGCTAGGGCCTGCTTGCAGATATGCTAAAACCCTCACGTTTCTTATACAAATAATTTTGGTAACCAAATCATCTAATACTGTATCCTAGGAAAACCTCTCTGGTGCAAATTAAAGAAAGAAAAGCTTAGATGCCAAAATGTATACCATATAGTTTCTGTCTTGAAGCAAACTGGAGCTATCTTGATTCTCTGCTCTGAGATAAGCACCTATGGCTAGCACTGCACCTCTGCCCTCCTCGACTCCTTCTTTAGCCTTTCTCAGTGCCAGGAACTCCCTCCTCCGCCCCCTTCCTGCCTTCCCACACCCTACCCCCTTCCTGCTGGGCCTTACTCATCTTCCTTCCTGAAGGACCGTGCCTGAGCCACACTGAGCTCGCAGAAATCCCCCAAGTACACTTCTCACAGGGAAAACTTCATGGCCAGTGTTGATGTGTGCATTCCACCCTAGAACATCAAGCCCAAAGAGGCTGACCGGACCACACACCTCACACTGCCTAGTTAATGTCTACTGGGCCAGGACTGCGTGGATCTGTGGACCACCCATCCAGAGAGTCAGATGTAGCCCAACAAAGAGTCCAAGTGTCAAAACAGTTCAAAAAAGAAGGTTGCTGAAAGTTCCCAAGAACAAACCAAAGCACAAACCTTAAAAGCTAAACAGTGACTGTGTCAAGCCCCACTGGTCTCCTCGGGACAGACTTCCTCTGACCCTCCCGGCAGAGCCCTCAGAACCTTTATGGCTACAAGTTGATTCCTGGGCTGTAACATCTGTCTGTGCCTGACAGAAAGCCAGCCCAAATGGGAACTCTGTCTAAGCTCACCTCCCTGTTCCGATTTTTTAAGGGTCACATATGGGTTAAGTTATATCTTGTTAAAGAATAAAAAGATTGTCCTGTCTAGGCCTGTTTCCTCATGCAAATATGAAGCTCCCTTAGTTATAAAATGCTACAGTGGTGATCTGTACTTCAGCTCTCAGTGTGCCTGGAAAATTCAAGCTACAGCATACTCCCCAAGAAACACATACACAAATGTCCACTAACCTTCATTATGGCAAGGCAGAAAGTCACAAACCCCAGAACAACAGGATGTGAAATATGGGAAGCTTCCTGTTATTCCAGGATTATATAGCTCTCCTACCCAGATACCACGGAGCACCTGACTGGCTGCTCCGGAGCATCTGCCTGCCAATGGGCTTCAGCATGACGTCAGAATCCAGTGAACCTACTGCTATCCTCCTCCTCAGGAAACCCAATAATGAGATGAGACAAACCAGAAGGCACACTCTCAGCCTGAGACCATTCAGACAGGCCTGCTTTTCCAAGGAGCAGAACAGACTACTTCCCCAAACAGCAATCCAAACAACAAAAAAGCATACGTCCTTTAATTCACAGAGCGTTCCTGCCAAAGCAACCAGGAAAGAGGCCCGGGACCTTCCCTGAAACACCTCTCATAAACCAGTCAGTGACACATGGAAACTGCGCCCAGAGCCATGAGGTGTCTAGGACAAAATGCACAGCCTGAACCCACACTGGGTTTCACCAAGAAGCTAACACTGCAGGCTGGCAGGGAGGTTGGCTTTCACAGTACACAGGAGTACACCACTGTCACCATGTAGACCAGAGGTCCACATCTGCTGCAGGAACGTGTGACTGCCCATCCCCTGCCATGACGGTCCTTCTATCCAGGTGTAGTAGAACCTGTAATCCTGGCTCCACAAGCCATCGCTAAGCACACGGTCAGATCTTCAAAGACTCTACAACCTGGCCTAGACGACACTTGCTGCCATAGCTTCTTCCATTCCTCTGAAGCGCTCTGCCTAGGCATAGTCCTTATTTCATGGTTATTAATGGTATCCAAATGCAGTGTCAGGCTTAGCTCTTATACAAATGCACGAAACAGGAAAAATGTGGTATCAACTATCCAGTGTCTATCTGACAGGCTGTCACCATCAAGGTGATCCTGTGAACTGGCATGAAGGTGCCTGGTCACCTGTGGCCCCAGATGTAGTACTTCTGAGCAAACTGTAACATTGTCTCAATCAAAAGAACAGCAGGACAAACAGAAGCCTAACTACCTGGCATAGTTGCTAAGAACTAATCCAACCCAGAACTTTGCTAGCAGGACACAATTTTCTGACCTCCTTTATCGCTCTAACCCAGGCTTACTACACTGTAAGACTTTTCCTCACTACAGTTCCCTGGGTAAGTCTTTATGCTGCAAGCACACAACACTGGCCACCTGACTGGGGCTGTGGCACATCACATGGAGTTCCAGGAGTCTTGTGAGGAGGGTCAACAGCCTCTGACCAGGTTCCTCAAATGAGACCAGACAGACCCAAGTGGAGCTGCAGTCAAGAATGACACCTAGCTACAGCAAGCAAGCAGAACTGGTCAGAGAAGCCTCTGCTTCAAGCACAGGGGTGGGGGAGTTGTGCACAACCAGTGTCAGTCAGCAACACAAACAGGAACATCAGACCGTCTAGAACAAAACGACTTTAACATAGAGCCTCCTACTCTCAGGATGCTGGGACTCAATATAAAGGCGATTTTGAGTGCCTGTCACACTCCTTAGCAAACAAGGGTCCCCTTCCACCTCAGATCTAAAACAGTACGTATATAGTGTTGGCAGCTAAGACTTCACAGAAACTCAGAGGGAGGGAGGGAGGGAGGGAGGGAGGGAGGGAGGGAGG